GGGACTTGACGTCCTGAGGGGAATTTGCAAACCGTAGTTGCTCAGAGCCCAGGCTCCCCCTGGAGCTGCTGGAAGGCCAGGTCCCAGGGCGGCTTTTGTTGTGGTGTCAGCAGTTGCTAAACACTCTGATGGGACGGAGGCCTGCCAGGCTGGTTTGCTTTCAGTCCCAAGCATGTGCCGGGCACTCGCTCACCTCTGAGCTTAGAGAGCACTCCCCATCCCCAATTCAAAACACGCCTTGTCTCTCAGCCTCCCCATCCCAAGGATTCACGAGTTCCAACGTCTCCATGAAGCTTCTCTAACACATTTTTCCCACGAAACACTCCAACCCCACCCCCACTCTTGAACACTTAACCGCTTACCTTCAAAAGTACTGCCAAACACTGACTTGTTCTCTTTATGTCTCCTGGATAGGCATGCCAGCTCTCTGACTACGCTGATGTAAGAGAGGGGTCCCCATCCTACCCCCGTGTCTCCCTGGGCAGCACCTCCGCATGAGCCACCCTGAGTGCTCGCTCAGTAAGCACCCGCCTGGTCCCAGTCGCCATTTTAGTTATGGCCTCGTATGATAAAAATGGGGGTTTATTGTTCTAGTCTAACTGGTGGATAATGCCAAGAATGTGGACTTGTGAAGTCTCGATGCTCAAATTAGAAACACCCAGCAGCTTTTGGTGGGCAGGCCATTTGGCACGTAATTTCCCACATCCTGGGCCTTGGCGGCACCAAAGGGGCAGCTTCTTCACTTGATCTAATCGAATGGGACCTGAACTAGCTGGTCCAGGGGAAGGAAAGGAGGCGGGGACAGAAAGGAAGTGAGGTTTAAAAAAAAAAAGGCTTCCTGAAAGACAGGAAGTGCTACAGGGCCAGCTAGAAGTTGCTGAGAAATCAGATAAAGAAATCAGGTCAAGACTGAAAAACGGCCTATGGCTTCTGGGCACAGGTGGGCGGGGCAAGTGGCGGTGGAGGCTGTACTGGGCTCTCTCCCAAAGTCGGCCACTGCAGCTGGGGTGAGAGCAGGAATGCGCATTAAAAGTCCAGCTGAGATGACTGTCTTTGCTCTGGTCCAGCACAGGATGGGGCCCTTCCATGCCCTCCCCCTTGCCTCCACTCTCACCGCATCTGGCAACCCCTGTAGCTGACATTTACACTCAGCCTCCGAAAGGGCCGAGGCCTTTCCATCCAGGCAGCTGCTCACGCCCAGGCTGGAGTGGCTGATGCTATTAGTGTATTTTCCACACTGGAACACTTTTATAAGCTTTAAAGTAGACTCCTTTTCAAGATGCCACAGATGGCAAAGTCCTCTGTCAGGCCAGAGCCACTTGGGGAGGAGGGGTGCTCTGAGCTGGGAGGCTCTGCTGTGTGGCATTTCTCCCCAACGTGCAGGAGGGAACCGTGCGAGCGGGCAGAGAAACCCGCCAGGCTGGGCGGCTCCGGCCGGGCCGGCAGGTGGGGGGGTGGGGGTAGGATCTGCTGAGGTCAGGCTACGAGCACGAATGAAGGACTGTACCTTTGGGACTCAAATCTAAAGTCTGGCGAGGCTCAGAGAGGGAAGGAGAACCAGCCCATGACTGCCTGGAGGCCTTTCTTATCAACAACACCAGAGTTGTTCACTTGCCTTGAAAGGGGCAAAAATGCAGCTGGGCAAGGCTCCCCACAGGGACAAGGAACTTGTAGAAATAACTCACACTTTTGGGTGTGAACTCTACTCATCTCCCAGCCCTAGCTTAAGCCAGTGACCCCAGGGGAGCCTGCACAAGCCATAAGGAACCCAAGTGCATTCCTGAGCAGGGAGAAGGTTAAGGGGAAGAGGCCTGATAAGGTCGGATGCTATTTCTGATCAGAGAAAAGCAGGACCATTTTGAATGACACATCATTCTCACTTGCAGGCTTGAAAATCCTAGCGTGCCAGGCGAAAACGAGTCAGGACTAACCCTGGGTTTCATGAAGACACCAAATGAGAACACAGCTGAGACGGTGAGTTTCCTCACTATGCTCCTGCTGTGTGGAGGCCACAGGGCAAAGTGGTCTAGGAGGCCAGCTCTGGAGCTGCACAGCGCCTGGCTCTGAACCGCACCTCCTTCTGGTGTCGGCTATATAACCAAGTCACTTGCCGTCCCCAAGCCTCTGTATCAATCAGCCAAGCAGGGACAATGACAGTCCCAACATCAAATGGCCCTTAAGAAATACTTAGTATCCAGCCAGGCATACAGTAAGCCCTTCCTGAATGCTGTTTGTCAATAGCAATGTTATTATTTACAAGTCCTGCTATAACAGTGTCTCGTACCCTTTGGAGGCAAAGTATAAATTTTACTTACAAATATTTATTGAGCATTGACCCTGGGTGGAAGCCCACGCTAGACATTGCTTCTTTACGTATGTGCACGGGCCACCCCCTCTCCCGCAATTAGTTTCCAGTTAATACACAAGACAAATAGAGAGGCCAGTGCGTGCTCTAACGCCTTCTTAGGTTCAATGCACTGAAGAGTCCCATTTTAGGAGTAAAAAGCCCCATGTACCATGTCAGTCAGCCCTTATTATTACCCACCCTACATGGAGGGTACCTGAGGCATGAGAGCTGAGTGAGTCGCCCGGGCTCGCCAGTGGCAGAGCTGGGACAGCGGTACCACCCCAGCTACCACACACTGAGGACTCGGAGGCAGCACCCCGGGATTCACAGCCCCGCCATAGTCTCAAAGGCGTTCCGGCTGGAAAGCGGGAGCGGGCCGGCCCGCACTCACCATTGGCTTCTGGTGGGAAGGGCCAGGGATGGACACTCCGCTACTCGTGTTCACCGCCTTCTTGGTCACCTGCACGTACACCTTCCCGTGGTCTTTGGAGACCAGGCAGTGGTACAGATCGTCGTACTTGACTTCCAGGAAGATGGCCTCCCGATCTATGTAGTCTCCACTTTTCAGGAAGTAAACAGCCTTGGAGGAGATGAGCACACAGTAGCTGTCGATGTTCTCCACGGCTATGAAGCTGCGAAGGGACAGGGGCGGTAAGAAAGGCACACCGCGAACCGTGCTCCGTGTCGCTAAGCCAGCACAGAGGGTGTGTGGGCCCCGGGTGGGCCCCGGTCACCAAAGGCCTGACCTTGGATTCCAGCTCCCTCACTCACTACGCCTTGGGCAGGTGGCTCAATTGCTCTGAGCCTCCATTTCCTTGTTTATAAATTAGGAATAAAAATGACGCCGGCCTCCCGCGGCCGTGAAGCACTGGGCCCCTTACACAAGGGCGCTTGACAAATGTAAGTGCAATCTGAGGACGACCAACAGCATCAGCAAGAGAAACAGTTTATATCCTGAACCTGTACTGTGTGGGGTGTTCTCAGTGAGAGTTTTTATGTAGTTTAAGGCTTAGAGAAAACTGTACCAATGCTTTGTTGAACAAAAGAGAAGAAAAAATGATGCTTTTAAATGCTGACGAAGCAGCAGCTGAGGAAGTTTGCTGTGAACGCAAACAGTAGCAGCTGAAGACACGGGCCAGCGGGTGGAGATGGGAGGGGAAGAGGAATTAAATAGGTGACCAAACGGGAGGACGTGAGAAGATGGCACCACGAGGCTCTAGCATTTGCACACTCACGTTCATTTCCTTTCTATCAGTTCTAATAAGAGGTCAACCAGGCTCGGCTGAGCACCTCCTGTGACAGGGAACCTGTGAGGCCACCGCTCCATTTTCAGAAAATTCCATTGGTTAGAAGGTGTTTTGTTAGTAATGCTGTAATCCTGATTTTCGTAACTTTCAGGCATTGGTTTTAGGGGCTTTAGGACCACTCAGAAAAAAGAAATCTCATTCCTCTCCTTCCACGGAGCTCCCAGACTTAAAGTGGAAATTTATGCACATCAAACCTCTCAGCTCAGCTACTGAATGGTGAGCAGTGACCCTTGGAAGCTGCTGCGACAGCTCTCCAGGGCCTGGCTGCCTCTACTGCATCTTGTGACAGCCTTCCACAATGGAGCGGTGACGTCGCGGGGACAGCAGAGGAGAACAGATGATGGCAAGAATACTAAGAGTGGACCACAGGCTGGCTGTCAAGCTGCGGCCCCCCCGGGACTTGACGTCCTGAGGGGAATTTGCAAACCGTAGTTGCTCAGAGCCCAGGCTCCCCCTGGAGCTGCTGGAAGGCCAGGTCCCAGGGCGGCTTTTGTTGTGGTGTCAGCAGTTGCTAAACACTCTGATGGGACGGAGGCCTGCCAGGCTGGTTTGCTTTCAGTCCCAAGCATGTGCCGGGCACTCGCTCACCTCTGAGCTTAGAGAGCACTCCCCATCCCCAATTCAAAACACGCCTTGTCTCTCAGCCTCCCCATCCCAAGGATTCACGAGTTCCAACGTCTCCATGAAGCTTCTCTAACACATTTTTCCCACGAAACACTCCAACCCCACCCCCACTCTTGAACACTTAACCGCTTACCTTCAAAAGTACTGCCAAACACTGACTTGTTCTCTTTATGTCTCCTGGATAGGCATGCCAGCTCTCTGACTACGCTGATGTAAGAGAGGGGTCCCCATCCTACCCCCGTGTCTCCCTGGGCAGCACCTCCGCATGAGCCACCCTGAGTGCTCGCTCAGTAAGCACCCGCCTGGTCCCAGTCGCCATTTTAGTTATGGCCTCGTATGATAAAAATGGGGGTTTATTGTTCTAGTCTAACTGGTGGATAATGCCAAGAATGTGGACTTGTGAAGTCTCGATGCTCAAATTAGAAACACCCAGCAGCTTTTGGTGGGCAGGCCATTTGGCACGTAATTTCCCACATCCTGGGCCTTGGCGGCACCAAAGGGGCAGCTTCTTCACTTGATCTAATCGAATGGGACCTGAACTAGCTGGTCCAGGGGAAGGAAAGGAGGCGGGGACAGAAAGGAAGTGAGGTTTAAAAAAAAAAAGGCTTCCTGAAAGACAGGAAGTGCTACAGGGCCAGCTAGAAGTTGCTGAGAAATCAGATAAAGAAATCAGGTCAAGACTGAAAAACGGCCTATGGCTTCTGGGCACAGGTGGGCGGGGCAAGTGGCGGTGGAGGCTGTACTGGGCTCTCTCCCAAAGTCGGCCACTGCAGCTGGGGTGAGAGCAGGAATGCGCATTAAAAGTCCAGCTGAGATGACTGTCTTTGCTCTGGTCCAGCACAGGATGGGGCCCTTCCATGCCCTCCCCCTTGCCTCCACTCTCACCGCATCTGGCAACCCCTGTAGCTGACATTTACACTCAGCCTCCGAAAGGGCCGAGGCCTTTCCATCCAGGCAGCTGCTCACGCCCAGGCTGGAGTGGCTGATGCTATTAGTGTATTTTCCACACTGGAACACTTTTATAAGCTTTAAAGTAGACTCCTTTTCAAGATGCCACAGATGGCAAAGTCCTCTGTCAGGCCAGAGCCACTTGGGGAGGAGGGGTGCTCTGAGCTGGGAGGCTCTGCTGTGTGGCATTTCTCCCCAACGTGCAGGAGGGAACCGTGCGAGCGGGCAGAGAAACCCGCCAGGCTGGGCGGCTCCGGCCGGGCNGCCCTCTTACTGGGGATTTTTGATAAATTTGTGGATTTTTGATTTGTTAAGAGAAAGAGTTCTATGGGATATTTTTCCCCTTTTAAATCAACAGAGCCTACCAATGTTTCAAACCTACGATAACCCAAGAGGAAATTATAATGCTGTGTGTGTGTGTGTGTCTGTGTGCCTGTGTGTGCGCACACACATGTATGCAGCAACGGAACACACGTTTATCTCAAAGTTTGGCAAGACTTTTCAGGAGAAAGCCAAATTGCTAGGCAGGTAAAAAATAATAATTTGTGATCATCTAAGGGCTACCTTTGAAACGGGGGTGAGAAATAAATAAAAGATGGCTCCCCGAGCCGTGCGCGTCCATCTCTGCTGAAGGGCCAGCTCTGGTTCTGAATATTTTGGCGCACAGCTCCAGCCCGGGGAAGCGCAGCTTTCAAAGGCACCTTCAGTTTCAGGCCACTCTGCTGTGAATGCTCTGGATTCCAAAACTAACACATAACATTCTTCAACTTTCAACAGTGCCTTTTTACAGAGAGTACCCTGAATCGGACGTGTGGAATTAGTGCAATAGAAGATCCAATATACTTTTATATTACTTTACAGTTAACAAGCCTTTACACACATCACAGGGCCTGTTCGGAAATGTGCCTCTATATTTACAAACACACAGTTGTACATATATACATGTTAACAAAATACAGGGCAATCTAAAAATTAGATTCATCTCAGTACACCTTTTTTTTTCTTACGTTATTCAACCAATACCTTTTAAAAATTACTTCCCCATAATCTAAAGTAACCCCCGCTCCAGAAATTACTACAGCTGCTTTCCATTTGTACCTCCCTCTTCAGCATTTACTTTCCCTCATTCCTTGACATCGTCCCCTGAACCGTATTCTGGTCTTGCCTCTAATTTGAGCCCAGTCTGTGGGCCTCTGCTCCTGATTGGCGTGGGGTCTGGGAGCGCCTCCCTCCAGCCGCTGGGATGCTTCAAGAGTCCAGCTCCAACTGCTCCTGATTTTCACTGAGTCTTAACATAAGTTGCTGTTCATAGTACAGGCTCTTTGCATAGTTTATTTCTTGTGACAACTTGATAGCGAGGACCTCCGATTTCACATGGACCTGGAGAGAGGAACAGAATGAGGAACCTACCCCAGAGGTAGGAAAGCAGCATCACAGGACACGTGAGTTAAATCCACCCAGGCAGCTGCGCCCAGCATGGCTGCGGAGAGAACAGACTGGGTTTCCTTTTAAGAAGCAGATTCCCAGGGCCCTACTCCTAATTACTGCTGATTCGACGTCTGGGGGGTGATTCCTGGAATCTGTATCTGTAACACATCCCCCAGGTGGGTGAGTGTAGCCAACCCATCATCTCCTGACATTTCCCAGTCCCCAAGGACCAGTTTCAGCTCTGAGCGGGGGTGGGG